TGTTGTGTAGCTTACGACACCAATCGCCAGCACACATTAACATCTCAACAGTTGACAGTGACAATCATGAACGATAGGCGTCAATCACTCCAGTTCCATCACTGAAGGTAGCTTCTGAAGCAACCGTGCTAACATGAATGGCCAAAATATCAGCAGCCATCTTAGGCAAAATCTTGTATTTTGTGGTGTCTTTCCACCACTGAAGAGCATCTAAATTCACAATATTATTCACGCCCGAGTTCTCCGCAGTAAGAAGGCCATCCTCAAAGTAGGAATCTAACTCATTCTTTTGTGGTTGACTACATTCAGTGGCTGAAACATGAGTGAGAAATTCACTCATGCCTGAAAAGTTTGTAACTGATGATGAACTAATGCTCTGCTGGGAAGAGATTGAGCACTCATTTGACCACTTGAACTTGGATTATATAGCTCCACGTATTCATCGTATAGCTCATATAATGATCATCGAACCTTACTTATATTGTGTTCCACTTGATGAGAAGGATATATCATTGGAAAACAATAGTTTATAACCTTCATTTTGCACCTCGGATCCAAGATGGATGCTATTGACATTAATAAATTACACTCACCCCAATATTTATCAAACTTCACTTTCATTTTTCGAACCATTGATTGAATAAAAAGATCCTCATCATTGGCTTTATTATCGAGCAACACTTTTATCCGGCTAACTTCATTAAGATATAATTAGAAGTCGGATAATCACTACCTGATATCACATGAGTAGCTATCCAAAAAGCTTTCAAAATGTTGCAGACCTTCTCTACCTTGTCCCAATCGTGAACGGTTGGACATTGTTTATAATTCTCTTCTCTATACTAGAATCTAGGAAAAACTTCTTGGTACTTGAGAGCATAAGCTATGATCTCAAAAGTAAAATTCCACCTTGTCTTGCAATCATATAGTAGCACCTTACCAGGAAGATTAAGTTGTAGCACATTTTCCGCAAAGAGAATACGCCTTCCATCCATTTTCTTAACGAAATCCACATTACTTCTTATCACATCGACTATATCCTTAATTTCACCAATTCCATCTTGAACAGCCTGTTTAACCATCATTGGCTCAGTCATCCAAATCTTCTGAAAGACCCATAGATTGCGGGATTTCCACAACCACCATAATATATAAGTTGAAAGTTGAATTCTTCTCTCAGTACATTCAGATTAAGGCAGTGCACTTAACCACCACCACTATGCTTTGAAACTCCCCTGCTGGTTGTGGTCAAAATCCCATGAAACCGGGGCCATCTTCCATATTCTTTGAGCTCTGCTGCATTTGAATCGTACATGCTCTATAGTTTCTTCTTCCTCTCCACATCCCCAACATCTCACATCAACTTGAATCCCTCTCTTTATCACCATATATTCAACCTTATGATTTTTCGACTTCCAAAGATTCGTGGTCAAGCTGATTTTTTGGACTTTTTTCAGCAAATTCTTCAACTCGGCCTGTTCGCTCTCGTATATAACCTTGCAATCATTCTTGTCTTCGGTTCGGCTGATCTTTTTCCATTCGGGCATTCCTCTTTTTCGCATCAAGTTAAGGCCCTCTTCCTCGACAATTGAAAAGGGATGCTCGTTCATAAGTACCCATTCGGCGGCAGATTCTCTCGTGGCGGCCATGTCGAATGTTCTAGTATGAAGATACGAATGAGGAGTGCTTGAATCCATACATGGGAAATTAATCTTTTGTTGTTGTGGCTCATTTACTTTTCGTAGTCTCGTGGAACATACCTTCAAATGCCTCAGCATACTTATTGTTGTGCTTGTCTTGGTTTTCTTAAATTTGGTCTTGCAATGCTTACACTCACAAAACTTATCAAGACCATCATCTACTATTTCGAAGTCATCCCATGCCTTGGATGTTTTTGCCCTCTTCTTCGTTTTGAACGCATCTAGAGCATCAACTTGTTCAGCCATTTCAGCCGAGTTCTCCCCTAACTCCTCAACCTCATCTGCACTGTCCAGTTCTTGATCTCCAAGATTGGGAACATCTTCTACAACATTCTCAGCTTCAACTTCATTGATGACGTTCATTGGACTAGCACGTTCTTGAGGAGATGCCATATTTTTCTGCAATCATACACAAAATAATAGGAAATAGAAATGTCAACACAAAGCATAAAATCTTAGAAAAGATGATGATAAAGCACAATATAATATGTCCTGGACATTCAGGTTTATCAACAAATTAAAAGCCATAACACAATCTACATCTATAGTATGTTTTAATTTTTTCGAAAAGCCAGAACACAATCTACATCTATAATATGTTTTAATTTTTTCGATACCATCAATAACAGACATGAGACAACAAATGTTAAGATTAACAGCTTGGTTAAATAAATACATAAAACTTGAGGTAGCAGTATGACAAATCAAGCATTGTATACACTAAATCTTTCCAGACATCAATAATTGTATCGAATACATCTCGAAAATGCCATCGGTTACGAGGTGAAGAATTACCATCTTTTATGTTCCAATAATAATCAACTTACATTCCACACTAGAACTGAAAAATTCTAAAAATAGAAGGGAAAAAAGTCGATTATGTATATGAACGCACAATGAAAATCGAAACCTATAACCAAAATATAATAAAATAAATTGTTCATGAAAATAAACAAAAAAAAAATAGAGTTCTAGGATTTAAACCCTAAACTAGCAAGAAAATGAACAAGTCTATATATATTTACCATAAATTGAGCACAGAAACGAGGAAGGCAATTTGGGCCGAACGTAATCACTAATCTCCGACTGCGGGTTGTGGGATTTTTCATGTCATTCTCAATTTTTCGACCGAGCGCTTGCGGGAAAAGAAACTGGGGATGAAATTTTGTTGATAAAATTCAGATGAACAGGTAATCTTCGAGACTTCGACTGAGTGCTTTCGGGAAATGAGATTGGGAATGAAATTGGGCGTGAAATTTGTGATGAAATTAAGCCGAAGAGGAACTAAGGTTCTTGCGGGGAGAGAGAATGGCTAACGGCGTGAATGAAATGTGAAAATGGAAAATGTGAATTTGTGGTGTGTGTATGTAGTGATGTGGCGGACTTTGATGTTGGAAAATTAGTGATTTCACTAATTATTTTGAATTTGTTAACATTTATGTAAAATTACCAATAAGTATATGTAATAATATTATTATAGGGAGTCTATATATATATATAAGGATATTTTAGTAATTGAATGTATTACTCGAGCCGCTCGCGAGCCACTTGACAGTGCAAAATATGGGTTCGAGCTCGTGCTCGAGCCGCTTAAGCTCGACTCGAGTTCGTGCTCGAGCCGCTCAAGCTCGACTCGAGTTTGTTCTCGATCCGCTCAAGCTCGATTTGAGTTAGGTCAAACTCGAGCTTGAGTCGAGCTTTGACTCGAGCGCTCACGAGTGGCTCGCGAGCCGCTCGATTCGTGTGCAGCCCTACTCCCACCTGCTTTCCCGGCGCTCCTGGGGTTGGGTGTTGGGCTTCCCCGATGGCGTTGGGTCGTTCGCTCTGGTTGTCCTCGGCCTCTGGCTGCCGGTTTGTGAGGGGGGTTAGATAGGCTAGTCTCGGGCTTGCTGGCCTGAGGGTTGATTGCCTTGGAGAGTCTGTCGAGATAGAAGTGTCGGATCTTATTAGACTTTCTGCAGTTTCAAATTCGGTGCTTTGTCCTGGTCTTTTGTCTGTGCGGGTGGTCTCTCTCGGCAGTTAGTGGCTTAGAGTTTGCACGCCTGTCGGGAGGAGGGCTTTCTTTTAGTTTATTTTTATGTAGTCTGTTGTTGTTTGTTTTGTGTTTGCCCATGCTCGTATTTTGGCACTAAAAGAGATGATTGACCACGGGTGGTCCCGATTGTTGATTGCCATTCAGGGTGGAGATCTAAAGACTTTCTTGGTGTTGCGGGAGTGGGTTTGTAGTGTTGTGTTGTGGGGTTAGTNATGTAATTATGTGTTCTTTTACAAAATTCTATCGTTTCCAAAAAAAAAAATGTCATAGCCATTAAATTTAATAATCTAACCGTAAAAAAAAGTCAAATTTTTATATTCATTAAGTGTAATTTAGATATTTTTCTTATAAACCTGTGAGGCCTACATCAACTATCCATTCACCCACAACCAATATATCCCTGCCATGTGGCCATCTGATGCCACATCCCACCCCACCCCACCCCCACCCCACTCTCTCTCTTACACATATGCACAAATCACTCGCACGCATACAAACACACAACACAAACATGTTGGGTTTTATGAGGAATGTCGGCTATGTGCACATTCGAATCTGTTAAAAATAATTCTTAACGCAGTGGAATTATAATTAGGATTACTACTTACAGTTTAATTTTTTTTGCCGATTCTGAAACGTTTCTGATTTCTGTTGTTGGAGATCGTCTGAACCTCTGAGTCCGTTTGACAGCCGAACTTGGCTTAGTCATCACGTCTCTGGTTGACCGTCGGGCTCATCGGATCGTCTTGGACCTCGATGGGCTAGTCAGACTGCTCGGGACTCGCCGTGGGCTCTCCGGTGCTTCTTGATTGAGCTGCGCTAGTCTGGACCGCTACTGGGCCGGGTTGGAACGGACTGGATTGGGTCTGGTCTGGTTGACTCGGGTCAGCTGCACTGGTGCCGAGGAATGACTCGCTGGATATTGGTCTTCGAGGATTGACTCGCTGGCACACTGCATCGCCGAGAAATCACCTGTGACGGGCTCTGGTCACGCAAACAACTCGCGGGGTGCTGCATCGGGTCGCCAGACTGCATGCGGGTCGCACGAGAAAGTCACGGGTCGCGCTCGAAGAACACCGGGCGCGCGTTGGATGAACTGGGTCGTCAGCGTACCGCGCGGGTCTCCGAGCACCTGTGAGCTCGGATGGCGGTTTGCACGGGCTGTGCGATCTAAGACGACACTATACACGGTCAGGGATGGCTTAACGCGACCAAGTTGCGGCTGGGCTGTATCTGGTCCCTCCATGGTCACCGGTGGTTGTCGGACTCCCGGGGAACTTCTCCGATAGTTCATGGATGATCGCCGGCGGCTAGGTGCTGTATATATATATATTCGCCAGGATGCGAAAACATAACCTTCAGATGTTCTATTGTATGACCTTTACACCATCCCCAGTCAATCTTGGTAGTACGATTAATTGGAACTCCCAAAGCCTCTCGATTTTTTTTCTTAAGACCCCTAAGTTTTATCCGAATTTTCCAAGAAGAACTCTCTTTTTCTCACAAATAAAATATGCGTGTATGATCAGCCATATGCGTGTGTATTATGAATTAGAAAAGCTAAGAGACTTAGTTTACTTATAGGCTACAATAGGGACACTAAAGAAGTGCTAAATATGATATTCTTGAAATAGAATTAGAAAACCTTGTATCTTCTCAACTTATTAACCTTCTAGAAGTCCTAATGCTTTCGAACTTAATTAACCTTCTAGAAGACCACATGTCTTCCAAACTTGGTAATATTCCAGAAGACTTTAAGTCCTCCTAATAGTTAATTATTCTGGAAGACCTTTTTATTCCTATTCCATATTTGAATAAATAATAAAACATTCCACTAGAGTAATATTATTGGTCTCTCCATTTAGCTCCGAATTACCATTAATTTGTCTCCCGACTAATTGCTCGATTTACCTCCCAATATTTAATATATAACGTCCATTGATTAATTTAATTACTGACGATATAATTAATCAATTTCTTTTGCGTACTAGCACAAAAAATATTACCACTCAATTCTTTATCTATTATGTCGGAAATTAATCCGCCGGTCGGGCTTGACATAACAATCCTTCTTGACCCATTTTAGAGACGTCGTCAATCCGTCAGACCAGGACACGGTGGCCGTAAACAATCTTAACGGCATGCACTCGCGAATTAGAAAATATATATGTAAGTTGTAAGCTATGCACGTGATTATGCAATTAAATCTATAGTAAAACCTGATCACCCTTTTATACTAGCGTGCCTTGTTTGCTAAGTAGAATGCAGACTTGGAAAGAGATTTAATTATATCTACTTTCCTAGCTCATCACATCTCTAGAGTCTCACATTTCCTATCGAGGTACACTTTCCATCCTTAAAGGATTATGTCCCTTCTTACCATACGATACTTAGGCTCTTAGGTTGTCCGAATGATCTCGCAACGATCCTGTCATGGGCTTTAACCAGGTCGTAACCACGACCATTTGGTTCCTCATCTATCCGAGCTCCGGAAAGAGCCCAACATCTGAGCCGTCTAATCAGACAAAGTGGAGCACTGAAATAGTGGTAAGGCTCTATTGGACCGGCCATACCTAAATTAACATTTCAAATTGGTCCATTGAAGTACTCTGGGAGCTATATCAGTTGTCTTACCTTTTTGTTTTCATTGGAATACTGACTCGATATTTAAGGTGATTGTCACAATTATTTATAAGATGTGAGGACTTTGATTAACGACAGTTGTCACAAATTAATAGTTTTGAAGAAATTAATTGATGATTGATATAATAAAGTTGGTATTGGTAGTAAATGACTTCAGTTTCGAGTTTATTGATTTGTCTCATCAAATTGATGCTAAATAGTGAATCTATCTGTTGCAGCAAACATCAAAAGTAAAAAGATAAAAGATGGTGGAATAAAAAGGTGATTTTGACAATACTATGTTCATATTCATAAATTACAACGACCCACGACTCACATCTATGGATCACTCTTAATTTGCAGTCAATTCCATTAGGATTGTTCTTGTCTTTACGGACAAATAATCGTGCTTATTTGAGGTGATCCTTTTTTTTTTCTTTTTTCTTTTAGGTTAAGCTATTTTTAGTTGTTTTTTTTTTCTTAAACAATGAATTCATTAATGCAAACAGATAATTACAATCAGCTATGTAGCCGAAATAAGAAGGTCTACACAAGGAAGCCTAGATAACACGTGGAGAATACACACTATCAAGTGGAAGAATTACAAATATAATTAAATAATTTAACTCAACGTTTCTCAATATTATCAATATAATTAAATAATATCGATCAATAATTTTCACACATTACGTTAATTTTAATTTATTATTCATCACCTCACATACTTTTAACTACATATCATTTACAATAATATCTCTGATATTTTTCATCAAATCAAATATTATTCATTGTATTTTAAATAATATTTAAAAAAATCATAAAGTCGCACTCGATCTATTTTATTGCAAAATTAGTCCACTCTTACTAATAAATACAATCAATACGAATTTTCTATTTATATCCAATCACCCCCACCCCACGTACACGACTTGCATGTGAAGCTAATAAATTCATTTTTATTTTTAATTACTAAGTGATTTAGTAAACGGGATGACAGGACAAATCGAAAGCCGAAATCTAGAAATATTCACTAAAAAATTAAATATTCACTAAAAAATGAGCTAATTTATAACACTATAGTGGGAAAAAATCATTTAATGAAACTCTAGATCCATTTGATCCTATTAAGTAAATTAAGATAAATATTTTTGTTTGATTTCTTTTGAATCCAAGTTGAGATTTCATGAGTTAGAAATATACATTCTTTAATTTTAACCATGCATTCTATGAGTGTTTATTTATCTTAAGGCAATTTGGTACAGTACTGATTAAAAGAGTAAAATCTATTTCCATGTCATCTGGCCATGATGAACACAATTTGTTTGTTTAATGTACTTATGTTCTTATTAGTATAAATCGGACTCATTTGAGTTCCTTTTTTTAAGTTTATCTGGTTTACTTTGTTATTATTTGTTGTTTTCATAATTTTATTTCATTTTTGTATTTTTTTTTTACTTTGACGTGTCCATTCCCGAATTTCAAATCTATTTTACTGAAAATTTAAAAATATCAGTCAAGCTAGAAATTTTGCACTGATAGTGTTCTGAGTGAGTTTGATTAGCTGAGATCCGAGTCTCGTGAGAGAGGCCATATTTATCACCAAGCACCTCGTGCGCGAAGACTGACGAATATTGTTGATTTGTGTACTGAAAGTTTGGGTTTGTTTTGAACTTATTTATATTTGATCAATGAGAACAATGTTTAAATAAACCCGTTTATATACTGTTATTTTACATTGTAGATAAATATGGTTCATCTTGTTGAACATAAGATCATATTATTATTACTTGTAAAATATAAAGTGCTATTCCAAACTGAGATAGATTTGAACGAATTATTGTTAATGGTAGTAATGTAATTTTGAATAAGTTAATCTTCATTAATGATATATACTAGTATACTATGAGTGTTTTGAATGGACTATAAAGGTGTTGCCCTCAAATTTGGACAACACCAAATTAGGAAAGTTCGGTAATTTGGATCAATAAAAAATGAGAAAATAGTAATTATGTAAATGGACTCAGAGCTCGGGTTAAAATCAGCTCGGGTGGAATGCCTGTTAAATGGTATATTTATTGGGAGAATAAATATCTTTTTGTCTGACTAATGTGTACCCCGTGCGATGTACGGGAACAATATTAAATTAACAATATTATAAATAGACCTCGAGTTTGAGTCACTTAATGGCGGAAATGGAAACTACTATTGATCCTATTTAAAAAGAGAAAGAAAAAAAAAATTATAAATTAAAGAGAAGGATAAACAATACTTAATAATTATAAATTAATGATTCGGGGTCAAACAATGTAAAACTATTTTGTATAAGAGAATATGAAATTTACATTATTTTGTATAAGAGAATATAAAATTTGTATGTATAATATTAAAAACACCTAAAATATTATATTAGTATATGTAAAAGTATTCAAACTTTTCTATATTATTTTTGAAAGATGTGAAGTCACCTACAACTTTTCTAAACAATTTTAGAAGGAAAACATATCTAAAAATATTTGAATTTAACATTATGTAAAAAAAAAAATTTCTAGACTATTTTGTAAAGAAAACATGTCTACAAATATTTAAATTTAACATCAATTAATTATATGTATATATTTATATATATATATATATATATATATATATATATATATATAGACGAATATGTAAAAAAATGCCTAAACAATTTTTTTAAAATATCTAAAATATTATAAGCATAATTTAAAAAAGGCATTATGTCAGATGATACTGAAGAATGTATGGCGTTACTTCCATCTAAAAAATTTCATTACACACTATTATTATTATACTTGTTACGTTGTTATCGAGGATGTATTGTTAGCTTATTGTAAAAATATTAGTAATTAGATCGATGAAAATTAGTTTTTTAAAGTAGAGAATGGATTTCTAGTAGTAGAGATGAGATTTTTTAAACTCGTGAGATCGCCTGCAATTAGATTTTGTAACAGATAAGAGATAAACTCTAGATTTATGCTTTGAGTTTTCAATACCCAAAAAACAGAAAAAAGGAAAACACGTTCTAACACAGCATTGGAGGAGGAAGAAAGATGGTACAATTAATCTGCCGATTTTGTTACCTTATCAATATTGTCCAACAATTACTATATATAGGATACATTTAATGTATTTGGCGGGAAAACATTTCTAAATTTGTAAAAAAGTTATTCTTTTTATATAATGATAGATTTTTTCATCCCCTTTACAAATGGGGTACTAAGAGTATTTATAGTGATTTGTACTTGGCCACAGTTCATTGGACAGTACAATTCCCAATTAATGGAAATGAGGAGCACATTAAATGTGGCACGCCACTCTAGGAGGCTATGACATTTAGACTGACAGATGGATAACAGGCTGTCCCATCCTAAATCGTTGGAGTACCGGTGGCGATTATTTTATCATTTCCTCTAGGCTGATATGTTGGGATCGGATCAAAGGGAGAGTATTCGGTCCACTCTATTCTAATGGTCCTCTGCTCAATCGCAATCCCTTAGTTCCTTAATCGAGTTCTCCTACCCGAACTTTCTTTTTCCAGGTTGAGAATATTCACATTGGGATCTGTATTCGGATTGGATGTCAACATACAGGCTCCCATGCTCAGATGGGGCGGAGCTTGATGGTGCTTATGAAGTTGTAATTTTGAGGGATGTCTGAGTTGATATGGGTCTGCATTGATTGCTCACGCGTTTGTCGAGGTTTTACACATCCCTAGACATTAACTTCGACAATTGAAGTGTCCATCATTAATGAGGCGTATCCGGATGTGTTTACTCATCTCAAGACCACGAATATGTCAGAATTTAAACCCTATGCAGGGTTTAACATAATAATCCTTCATGAGCTCACTTCGGGGACATCATCAAACTAATGCACATGGTGACCATAAATATTCTAACAACACATCATACACCCAGCACTGTTGTAGCAAAATATATTTTTACCGAGTACCGAATCGAAAGATTCGTTTCCCGGGTCGATCTCTCGAGGAAGGCGGTTCGGAATCTAGGGATAGTGTTGATAACACATAATAGAAAAATAAATCCTAAACACTCTAATCAAGATATTGGTTTTTAATTATCAACTACGAAAGAGAATTCAAACAATGCAAAATCGAACTTAAAAGCAAAGATGAAGATCAAAGGATAAGAAGCTAAAGAGTCGGGGATGATGATTTTCTAACCAATGCAAATATCAAGCTAAGATCATTCGGTTAAATGATTCGAGCAACCTAATGTCTAGAGATAGTCTTCAATAACTCTTCGTAACAAGAGGATAACATAGACGGTAAATCAAACAAATCACACAACACATAGACAATACGTTTCCGAACAAGTCTATTTCATGCGAGCCTAGATCGATCAACTCCTCCCCTTTCGGTTCTAAGAGTTGATTAAATTATCCTAGACGATTGTTAATTTACTAGTTCGATGGATTTAAACACATCACACAAGAACGAATGATATTCAATTGGAGATTAATTGCAAATCGAAGTGTCACTCTTCGACACAATCAACACTCAATGTACGAGAATTATAAACCCTAGTTAAGAACAACTCGCATAAATTGAGCGATCAACAAGCATGATAATCACAATTAAATTCTAAACATCATCATCATCCCCTATCCCTAGCGAAACGATTTAGCCAATCATATGGAATTCAAAATCAACAATCTCAACAATCAAAGCCATCATATTCATGAATTAGATGAAAAGAGAAACTTACGATTAATAGAAATCCAATATTCGAATCCAATGACAAAGCTAAATCCGGAAAAGTAAAGAGAGAATTGAGCAAAAAGAACGATCTAAATTTGAGTTTTTAGAGAAGGAGAAAGTGAAAAAAGAATATTGGGGATTGTTTCCACGAGTCTAAGGATCGTTTTTATATATAGTGCGCGAAAAATAGAGCTAAAACGAGTAAAAACAAGCAAAAATAAAAACAGGATCGGCTCAGTCGCGACTCGCGAGTCGCCTGGGTCGCTGGGGCTGTGCCTCTCTGTTTTTTTCACGAGGCGCGACACGCTGGTCACGAGGCGCGAGATGCTGGCGCTGGGGGCCCGCGCGCTGGGCGTGGGGCTAGTCGCGGTCGCGGCTCGCGACTTGGACTGCACTGCGCCTCTTCACGTTTTGGCCTCGTTTGAGCTTGTTCGAACTCGGAATTGAGCGCCGTTTTTTCCTACGCGTCGCCAACGAACCCCTCTATTCAACTATGCTCTCGAAACCAATTTTTACTAAAGAAAAAATTCTCCCGAAGCTCCCGACCTACACACCAAAAACGACAAAACACAAAAAAAAAACCGAAAAAACAAACAAAAAACACCTAAAGACTCAAAATGAAGGAAAACACATAATAAAACACGAAACGGACTAAAAACTAAAGAAACTAACTGCTCCTCTCTGGGATCCTGTTCAAGACATAAAATATACTAGTGCAACTAATCAGTCAAGACTAACTAACGGTTGATACTACAATTGTTCTGATGGTTTGTTCATTTTCATTTAGGTTGTGAACCAATCATTCTTGTTTCGCAAGTGACTGATAAAATGATTTTTTGTCCACCCGTAATGAACCATTTTATCTAAGTGCAAAATAACAAAACATAGAACTTATTTAATCAAATATGATTCTCATTCAACAGAAATAGTGTAAATAATATCCAAAGCAAACTTTTCAGTATATACGTCAACAGAAAGTGCAATGGATAACTAACTGGTTACAAAAGGATTTTTCTAACTTTGAAGAAACAGAAAAAAAAAATGATCCGAGGGAAGTCCGTAACATAAGAGTTCCCCCTCCACAGAGATAACAAAGCCTATAAAAAAACTAAAAAACAAGTGAGACAAAACACTCCACAAATGGAGATTAAAAAGGAACATAAAGCTAGTAAAATAAAATAAGGTCTTCTCCCATTTCAATCAGCCTCGACGTGGCTACAACCGCCACAGTAGGCCCAGTGACCCGATAACCGCATGCAAGCGGACATTGCCATCGAGCTTAGGAGTACAAACCAACACAGAAGATGAATATGCAGATAACAAGGACTATACGATATGAAGATGAATTAAAACCTGAATCAATGTATATTAAAGAGAGCGGATCTAAAAAGAAAATGGTAAGATTGAATCTCGAAAACATGGCCTGCTTCTCTCCAACACTAGAGGGGTAAGGAAGTCTAACCGCATGAGAAGAGGGCTTTTTTCATTTTTTGGTTTATTTCGCTATAAGCGTTGCCGTTATTTTTCATATTTTTAGATGGTACATATCTAGATCATAGTCACCATATAAGCCTTTTTCTCGTGTGCATAATCTATAAAACATTGTCTTAAACAATTGTGTGTTGTGGCCCACGAATTCATGTAGATGCTCGAAAGACAATTGCAAACTGCCAATTGCACTTGGTGGGCCTTCAAAAAAAGAAAATAAAAAAATAGAAAATAAAAATAAACCTTTGCACTCAGGTACAAACGTTACATCTGTGCCCACCCCACAACACCAACAGGTAATATGTGTCTCAGTTAAATATTAATAATGCCCAACTCATCTGATTTTTCTGTTGTACCACTGTGAATAGTAAAGTACAAGCACTATCTTCCTGTTTCCTTTTATTTTCTCTCTCTATTTTTAAGTTTTGGCTAATTCCATACTATTCACGACACAGGCCGTGGGGATGTGTGTTGATTTGAGGCGAAAACTCCACGGATGTGAAAATTACCCAACAAAATTACAAGAAAAATGTAAGTCGATGGTCTGCTTGTTGGGCGATTTTGCTTCCGTGGGGATTGGATCAAAAAAAATTCTTTAAAACAAAATTTTGGAAAGGGACTGAAAATTTCAGACAGAAAATTACAACACATTTGTCATAAGAAAACAGAACTTTTGGGCAGATTAACATAGTTTTCTGCTAAAGATGGCAGAAAAATCTCAGCCAGCCACCAAACATCTGCCATACATAATTGATCCCCTCGCCCTGCTTGAAATTTGGTAGCATCAACTTAANAAAATCCCAATACCCCTAATAACTAATTCTGAACCTTCTTCTTCCGCCGTCCGGCGGCGCCTCCGCCGCTGTCGTGGATGACGTCGAGCAAGACGGTGCTCTTGCACTTGGGGCACCTTTGGTCCTCCTCGGAAAGCATAACGTACATCAGGCAGCGCGGACAGCCGACCAGCATCATGGAAGTCGCCTCCTCAGGGCTAGCCGGGTACAGCCGGGACTCGCTCGGCTCCGATGACAAGCACGACGTCGGCGGCGAATCCGTCGGCGACCGGCTCGGCGGCTCGTCCCGTGGGCGGCTCCGCCTCGGCGGCGACAGGTTCAGCTTCAGGTCAAGCCTCGGCCCGTTTCTACGGCTCATATCCTTCGATTAATTTATTTAGAGTAAACCTGAAAAAAAGAAAGTAGCTAAATTATAGAAAGAAAACCAAAAAAGTATTTACCGGAATTGAGAAATATTCGATCGCCTCAATTTTTCCCGATCGAGAGGGTTTCGTGAAGATTACCGGAAAAATCGAGGTGGTTAGAGGCGGTAGCGATGTTTCAGAATCAAAATTAGTTAGGCTAGCTGCGGCGCGGCCGTGGGCGGCGGTGGTGGTGGTGGGGAGTAGTAGAAAGGCCGGTAAGAAGAAGGCGTGTATTTGGAGGCCTATGGCGGTATTATATATACATAAAAGAGAAGGGGAAGATGGAGATTGATTTAAAGCCTATAATTAAATATATTATGGTGAGTGGGGTGGAGGTTGAATACTAAATGGGGGATTGAGAAAAAAAATAGGTGAGTCAAATAGTTTAAAAATATTATTTTTACAGATTGGGGATTTGGGTTTTGAGGAAAATGAGAGTATTAAGGTTCACGGGGGTGTATGTCATTTTTTGAAAATTTGACCGATTGGATTCTTATTCCTAATTTAAACCAAAGTAATTATTTAATTCTGGTAACTAAAATTAAAATAATAAACAAATTAAATTTGAATTATTTTTATATAAATAGATATATTTATTTTATCTTTTTTATTTATATTATTCTATATAGAGAAGGTTCAACTAACTTTGATATTTTAAACTAAAACGAAAATCGGATCATAATATATATTTTGATCGATTATTTTCGTTTTGTTATAGTTTTATTCTAAATGAACACATCCCTAATAAATATAGTGTGGGTGTAAATATTTTATAATTTTTTTTTTTTTGGAGAGGGTGTAAGTATTAACTGTTGGAAAAGATAGCAAGAAATGTTGCAGAAAATGGAAATTTGGAGTTATTATAGCAATTACACAAAACTGCAGGGGAAGGCCGTCATTCATTGCCCTATGGAGCCGGAGTCTCTTTTTGTGTTATTTTTGAAGAATAGTTGGATTTATAGAGAATAGATCGAGGTTGTACCGAGTTGGGAACGAGTGAATGAACTCGATGGGGGTTTTTATTTTTTTTTTAAGAGAATCAATAGTGGTTCCCCATGTACATCCTGCATGACTGAAAACTCGAGATCTATTAGTCTAAATTGAAGTGCTACTAGCTGAACTATCTCTTCTTGTCGTGAACTGCCTCTAAGTTTTGTGTCCCAAAACTGTTTATATTAGCATAAGTTTTCAAAATGTTTTACACAATAGTTGATATTGAATATCTACGAAAATATTAAGATTTGATTACCTAACTAAATTAGTAGACTATGAAAATATATTTTTTTTAAATGTAAAATAATTAAAATTATAATTATTTATTTTAAAATGCTCATATATTGAGATATCATTAGCAATATTTTAAATCTAACAAACTATTTCCAAACACTACTTACCAAATCATTATAAGTTCTGACAGTTCAAACCTTAAATTTACCTTCAAATCTCTAATTTGGCCCTGAAACGTTAATTACCACATGGCCAAAATTTACTTTCAAATCTCTAATTTGGCTTAATTACCACATGGCCAAAATAAAAGCAATTGTCAGACAAAAGAAATAAGAGAAAAAAACTTTTTCTCATCCGAACTATTACGATTTTGGCGCTTTACCGTACAAATTTTTTTTTTGGCAAACCACTACCTCAACTATGCGAGTTTGTCAAATTGATCCCTATACTAGGTTTAAGCCAGTATAGGGTATTATAGGAATTTGATATATTTAAAAAAATAAAATATAAAAAAATTATTTAATGTGATGATTTGTAACTGGAACTATCTAGATTGCCTTCTTATCTGCAACATTACAATCTGTTACTTTGAGGGATGAAGCCAAGCACCAATTTGTTTCATTATCTCCTGAATCTTATGTTCCCATAAAAGTTTCTTTGAGGGACAACCATTGGGAACAAACATCTTTTTCTCCTTGTATAATCTTTCGAGTCAAAAAATTAAGAAAATCAAATGAATCAAGAACACCTGCACCTTCTCTGTCTGCCCGGCCTCCTGCACTCCGGTGTCCTCAAGAATTCTGATTTCAGGCCCGACGAGAAATACCTCGAGCACAGATTGTTCGGCTGAACGAATCTGTCACCGCCGTCGCGTCGTCGAGCCGAAATTGGGGAACTCGAAGAAGAAAAGCCCCAATCCTCCTGATCCAACTTCTTCTTCTCCAAGCCTTGGCTCATCGCCATTGAGGATCTACTTGACGCGGTTCTCGAGGCTAAGGAGGAGGTCGAGGTTGCGGAGGCCGATGTCTACGTCAATGGCGACGAAAAAGAAGCCGAGGCGCGCGAGGGAGAGGCCAATTTGGGCAGTTGTGCTGGTCTGCCGCCTTTGCCGGAGGTGATGAACTCGACGCGGGGGGTCTCGTCGGAGAGCTGCCGCTTACAATTGTGCTGGAGGAGGGCTCAGATTGGGACGGGGGCGGCGACGGCTATGGTTTTGGGTTGTGCTGGAGGGCTCGGATGGGGCGGCGGCTAGGGTTTTCGTCGACCTCCTGAGGAGTTTTTTAGGGATGAGGTGCGGCGGTGAGGGTTTGGCAATGGTGCTGATGGACGGATTCAAGAGGCTGGGTTTTATTGATTTTTTTATTTATATTAAAAAATGAAAATGAATAAAAATAAGTTAATAGGTGAGAATTTGACAAAGAAGAGGAGCTAATTTGTTATATTTGAAAAGTCTATAAATTATGATTTGGTCCTTTGGGTACTTTTGTAATATTTTAAAAATTTGCAATTCCCAAAGTATCCTTCTAAATCAGCTTTTTTCCCACAAAACAACTTTAAATACGGTTTTGAAAAAAAGTTTGTATGGTAAAGTGCCAAAATCGTGATAGTTCGGATGAGAAAAATTTTTTTTCCCAAGAAATAATAACTAAATTTGTAGTCAAAATTTAACCAATATAAAAAACTCACAAATGGAAATGGAAAGAAAGTATAAATAGGCAAAGTTCCAAACCTTGTTTCATTTAAACAAATAACTTGATTTCACATTATTCCATTCCAACAAGTGTTCTAGAAGTCGATGGCCGGTAAGCGCTCGATTAGCGCTTAGCACAAAAAACGCCTATGTAGAGCCTAAAATTAAGATTAAATACCTTATCTTTTATTTCTTTTCACTACTTACAAAATAAAATTATCTCAACCTATAATAAATCAACACACCTAAGTTCAAATACCAATATTAATATTTTATAAAGAAAACATGATAACAAAATAATGTAGTTAGTAATGGAAAATATGATAAAAGTATATTATAAGGTGAATGAGAAATTAATTCTAAGTGTTATATGTTGAATAATTGAGTTTAAGTAACTTAATGGTTGTAGGATTCACATATATTTTATCTCTGATAAATGTTTGGACAATCCTAACGATCCATAATCAAACATTATGTATGCTAGAACATTAGAGGGATTTGTTGGGGAAGAGTAGAAAAAAAAAAAAAAAAAAGAAAACTCGATTTTGAGTCCGAATGAGAGCTTACGAACTCCCGCCAGGTCCTATCACGACGCGACGATTGTCACGGCACGATGAAATAGGCTCTGTATGGTGCGACCAGTGGCGTGACACTCTTCACAGCGCGACATGCATTGCACCTGTTGGCTTCCAAGAGCCTTTGGCTTGACCGGTTGCGTCCGTTTCTGACCAGATTCATCCATAAAGGTGTTTATTGACCCTTAAACCTCCTATTGGTGTATTCCACATCTATAAAACACCCACATGCTTGAACTATTCAAGAATTACATCAAATTTTTAAGAGCTTCTTGCATCATTTTACAAAATTAATAAATCATATTGTGTTCTTTGACGTTTCTATCTTTGAGAGTTTCGAAACTTGAGTATTGTTCGCTGATGGTTTGTGTATTTGAGTTACCCTATGCACAAATCGAAAGTCATTGTATTTTAGCAGCGTTAGCCGTGAACTGCGAGTAATATACGGATCTGTTTCGTCTTAAAGAGAACGTATCTTACGTGTCTTGACTTTATTCGTTTTATCATTTTCTTCTAATTTCTTAAACCATTTTCTTGATATTCACATACACAATATCCTACACATAGATCAGCCTGAACATAAGTCATGATTTTATGGGGGACTAAAATGTCAATCCAATTAAGCTAATGAATTTCAACAACATCCGATCTAACTCTTAAGATAGATCATAAATTCTTGCATATGGTAGATCACCATGTTAGATAACGACAAACATGATAATTCATAGTATTCGTATGTTATGGTTTTATTTTTCTAATTTTTATTTAATGCTGCTGTTGAAAAAAAAAAACTTTAAATTTAGTGTATTAATGCGTTATATCATCGACCCCTCTTGCATTCATGGCCATTTTATGAAGTATTGGTGGTCGCCGGGTAGCACCTTTTAGCTTAATTAGAGTTGATTACAAATCGAGCCCATACAGTTTAATACTCCCTCCATTTTGAAATATAAGGCGTATAAAGATTTCTCAATTTTTTTGAAATATAAGGCGCGCTCAAAAATCAAGACAAATTTTTGCATTTTTTTCCAAATATACCCTCATTGTGTTGAAATTAAGGAAGTATGGAATGGTTGTGATTAGAGTAAATAAGGTTAATTTAGTCAATTTATTCATTAATTAATGTCTCCTTAATATTTGTGCAATAACCTTAAATGCCTTATATTTCAAAATGGAGGGAGTAGCTTTTATTAACTCATTAAGTGAAATCTATTAGTAAATCAAATTGAAAATGGTTAGTTTCAACGAAGATTATTAAATTTATTTGTGTATTAATATGTTTATGAAAAATGGAAACTTAAATGTACTACTACAGTTCAAATGTTACGTCAATTAAATGCCATGTTTTTTCCACCAATTAAAGGGATAGGAAAGCCTGAGAAGAAATGTAATGAAATTAAGCCAACTAAATGTGACCAAAGGGTAGAGTTGAAGATTGGTGATCGGTTCATTATTTAATCTTGTTTTAACCTTGTATTTATAAATTTAATTTATATATTACAGACTATTATACCATGTTATGTAGGATCGCAATTCATGTCAAGTAAAATATTCATTCATTAATTGCAATCATCAAAACAAGTTATATCTAGCCAGGTAGATTAGCTATGATTAATTAAGCCCAAAATCTTTGAGGATATTTTTCTTGTGTTATTATATATATGAAAGCCATGCATTATAAATAAGGACTAAAAAATATTTGTGCTGTATCATGGTATAAATACTTCTAACATAAAACATATTTTCTTTTCGAGTGTTTTTGATGTGCAGTTTGTGAGTCAAATAAGACTAGCTAGATAGTTGACACATGCACATCACATCTTAAAGACTTAAACTATTAGAAAAATTATTTTTCCATGTGATTATTCTAAATATATGTTATGTAGATTCCTTTCTTTTGTGGGTTTTGTTTAGTAATTAATGGTGCGTTGGTTAAATATATTGGTAAAACATCACCATAATTCACCCATCCCTAAATTTGGCTTGTCAACTTTGAATACCAAGAAATTTAATGTGTTCTTATCGATTAGGCCGAACAGAAAACCCTCCTGTTTTCTCTTCTATGATTATTATACATCACACAATAGAAGTTGGTGCAAGCAATACGTAGGCTCAATTAATCCTTTCTATATCAGTAATAAATGCAATACGTATGCAATTTAGATATATATCTTGTGCTATTTTAGTATTCAAAATAAAAATGACATCACCGTGTACTAAAATTTATTAGAGCATCTTTAGTGGCACTTATGTTGGCATAACAATATATAATTCTCGGTATGAATTGGCGCAATGGACTAAGGTAGTTTATTTGTTTTGGTTTCACATTGATGTAACAAGATTTGAGAAAGAAATAAATTCTGAAACCCGATTGTTAAGCTAAACACTAACGGATTTTACAACCGACTCACCGTAGCTGTAGGAGGAGGGGGTCTGATTAGGGATCACAGCGGAGATCTCATTACCTCTTTCCACGCCTCTCTTCAAGCCACCTCGAGTTATGATGCAGAGATCCAGACACTACAAATCGGTCTTCAGATCGCAGCCTCTATCTCTTTTCAGATCTGGATTGAGCTGGATGTCTCCGTTGTCGTAACCCTCTTGACGTCAGGCCACCAGAGCTCATGGAAGATTCGGCACCCACTCATGCACGTTAGATCCATACTCTAGTCGGTCCGTTACCGGATATCGCACATCTTCTGCGAGGGGAACCGACCCGCTGATTTCCTTGCTTGCAGCGGTGCCTTCACTCCTAGAGTCGCATCCTTCAGCCGGATGACACCCCTCTTCGCCTCCGCTCGCTTATACGGATGGATCAGTTTGGCTACCCATCTTTCATATTTGAGTAGTCTTTTTGATCTTTACCCTTTAACCCACTTGTGGCGCAGACTGTTTGTGTGGGCACATGTTAGCCCAGTTTTCAGATTTTTCTCTTTGGCAGTTGCTTTCCTTTTATTTATTTTTCTTTTGCTTTATCTCATACGTCTTGATGGTATGTTTTGTGCTTGCCGTATGATCTTGTAGACCTGTCACTTTCCATCTCATCTTGGGCATGTTTATATACAGGTCGGGAAGTTTTACAACACTGGTAGGCCCACTAGCCCCTAAGAACACCAACAACACAACCACAACGAGGAACACACCAATGGTTCCCTAGACAGACTTCAACTACGCAACAAAAACAACACAAAATAGTAAATTAAAGGCAAATACCATATTGCAACCTTCAGAATACTCCAACTAAACTACCAGTAAAATAAGAAAAACAAAACAAGAAGAACAAGAGAGAGAGACCACTGAGCCAAACAGAGACCTAGTCCCTCTCCTAAACACAACACTACCCGCTGTTCCCAGAGAGGAGAACTCATACCAATCGGCTAAGGCTGAGTTCACAATTGCTCTCTGACTTCCAAATGCATTGAAAAAGACATAAGTTCTGGGCCTTCCACAACCACCACAAAATGTAAGTGGATAGTTGTATCCTAGTTTCTGAAATCATCTTATGATCCACTAGGCATACTCTCTACCACCAAGCTTTGAAGTCAAGTGCTCGGTGGATATGCCATCCCAAGACACATGAGCCAACTTCCATACATTGATAGCTCTCCTGCACTGAAAGAACACATGCTCAATACTCTCCTTAGCCTCTCCACAACTTATACACACACCTGGATGCCTCTCTTCTTGATCAGCATCTTGACAGGTAAGGCTCCAATAAAGATCCTCCACAGCAAATGTTTTAGCTTTCTTTTCACCTTCAACTGCCAACATCTCTTTCTAGCCTTCATGTCCAACTCAGCTGTCTCACTTCCCTCAGCTCTGTCCAAGTGCAGCAATTTGTTTAAAATAAATTTTGAATAGGCCTCCTTCATAGCATACTTCCCATTTGCAGCAAGAGACCACTTTCACCTATCCTTCATAGTTGGGTCAAGGGATTGGATTATGAGGATAGCTGCACCATCTTCCTCACAAAACAACTCCTTGATCAAAGCAGCATTCCATCTATAGACACCCTCTTCAATTAGCTCTTTTACCTATCTAACAGTGTGAGTACAACCCTGCTTCAACTTTGGCACACCATTCTTAATCTCAGACACCCATAAGTCTGTTAACAAACTAGCAGTAAGCCCATATTTAAGTTCTACCCTGAAGCATGTTGTAGTTATTTTTACCGGAGTAGAATCGAGAGATTCGAACACCGGGTCGTATCTCAAGGAAGGTCAGCCAGATTATTTGTACGAATATTCAGTCACAGAAAAAGAAAATAATCCTAAACACTCTAATTCAAATGGTTGGTTTCGATTATCAACTACGCGATTAACAACTAATGATTCTCAACAAGCAATTTCAATTTCACAACCCAAAGCACAATTCAATTAATGATAAAATGGACTAGGGTGTCGGGGACAATCGTTTTCAATTCTCAATGCATCAAACGGAATTGATCACTCGGCTAAAGAACTCGAAACACTAACTCATTTAGAGATTCATTCTCAATAACTCACAAAACAAGAGAATAAACATAAACAAACAATTATCGAATTAATTAGCACATAGACAATACGTTTTCCGAACAAGTCTATTCTAAACGAGCCTAAATCGATCGATTCTTCCCCTTTCAGTTCTAAAAATCGATTGAAATGATTAAGATGGTGATCAATCATCCAATCCTAGGTTTAACATAACTCGTATAGATTGAGCAATTCAACAATCACACAAACGTGGAAGCGGATAAAACCTGGAAGCGGTTGGTCCCCTGGGCTCAATGGCGGGAGTTCTTTTCGATGGACCTCCGAAGTTGGCTTTTGGCAAATTTAACAAGGGGTACCTCTTCGGCGGTTGACAATTGGGATTCTTGTTTGGGCTCACAGCTTGGCGTCTATGGCGGTGGCGGAATTTAAAAATATTTCAAGGGACCGACACTACCATGGATCAACGGGTTGGCGATGTGCTTTCTTATGCGGTCAAGGTTCGCGGGGCACTGGCTAGTAGTAGACGAGTCGGGGCCTGTCGGACGCGTGAAACACAGTGGATATCTTGGTCTTCTCCGGCAGAGAATAAGCTGAAAGTTAATACGAATGGTAGTTTTGACCCACTGACGGGGATGGCGAGTGTAGGGGGTGCTATTCAAGATCACCATGGGAGATGGGTACGGGGGTTTTTAATGAATATCGGATTCTGCTCTATCATTGGGGCCGAATTATGGGGGTTGTTCCAAGGACTTCAGTTGGCATGGGATATACGGGCAAGAGACATTACAGTTGAGGTTGATAATAAGAGCATCATTCAGATGGTGCAAGACGACGACTATAGTGGACCGCATGCAGTGTGGTGAAAGGGATTCAGGAGTTTATGGATCGTCCTTGCGATGTGGAGATCATTCATGCGTATAGGGAAGCGAATTTTGTTGCGGATTATTTGGCATCTTTGGCGGCTAAGGGCACGGGTGGTCTTCATTGTTTGGGGTGTCCTCCGTCGGGGGGCGGGCATATGGTTACACCACGATATGGTCGGAGTGTCCTATCCTCGGAAGATTGTTAGTTAGTACCATGTAGGCGTCTAGCCTCCCTTTCTTGTACCAAAAAAAAAAAAAATGTATTTTATTATCATAAATATAATTGAACACAAATAATCAAATGAATAAAACTTTTATGAAAATATATTCCATAACATCAAAATATTTATATTTATGTAAACAAAATGATTGTTTATTATTAATTTTAATAATGTAAGATAAATCGTGATTCATTTTATTTATATACTTTATTGTATATCGGACATGCTACATCCCTCCATATATATTAATTCAAAATATGTTGTGCTTAAGTGGCAGGCTCGGCTCTCAATGCCCTCAATCGTCGGCGGGCTTGCGAGTGTTTGGGTGTTTCTCGGTCACGGTGGGTCTCCGATGGGTCTGCCGTGGGCGGTCTCCCCTCAATTGCAGGTGTGTCCTTTTGGGTTTGGTGGTTTGGCCCCAATCTGTAGCTTGGCTGATATTGGGGCTTTCCGGTCGGCTCGGCTTTTTCCAGTGGGACTTCCGGTCTTTGGTCGTCGAAGGTCAGCATGTTGTCGGGTGAAGTGCGTTTTCAGCGGGTGGGCTGGGGCTCCGGTAGCTGCGGCAGTTCACGTCGGGGAGATCGGAGTTGGGAACCGGGCCGCTCTCATCCCTCGGTTCTCTGGTGTTGGGGACAGAGGGGGGTCCTGCACTGCCGAGCTGGCTAGTGGTGTTAGACGGCTTCGGGAGGGCGGGTGGGGGTTTGGTGAGTCGGTTTCTCTCGGTTAGAGGTGGGTCGATTCGGGATGGGGTTTGAGGCTCGGAGTCGGCTACTTTATAGGCGGTTGTGCAGTTTCGGTAGTGGGTTCTCAGGCTGGGTCTCTTTCTTGTGTCGATTGCTCACTGTTGGTTGGGTCTGCTCGTTTTTCGGGGAAGGGCTGCTCAGTATTTTAGTTTATGTGTTGCTTTTGTTATGTGTTTGTTTGTTTTTGTGTCCGTGTTGTTTGTGTTTTAGGTTTGGGCCGTTGGCCTCTGTGTGTCCGAGTGTCACCTTTATTACCCTGTTGGGGTCCGACACTCGGTATTCCCTGTTGGGGCCTTTGTGATGTTGTTGTTTTTTTGTGTTTTTTAGTGTTCTTGAGTTTTATCCCATTTGGGTCGGTTCTAGGCGGGCTTTTGTCCTGTCCTCCCACTTTTTAGCTATTGGCTGTTTGTACTCAGCCGTTGGCTGTTTTGTAATCAGCTGGTGGCTGCTCTTTGCACATTTGTGCGTTTTATATAATATCTCTATCGTTCCGTAAAAAAAAAAAATGAAGGGACCGTATCACTATTGAGTCAAGTAGCAAGCTTACTATCATATAATTTTCTCCGATATTTTTCTCCTAAATTACGATTTAGTATTTACAAATCATTTTATGCACTGTCTGTTCCTCTTTTTTTTTTCATTAATTAGTCCATCAAAATTTTTAAATAAAATTTTTATTTAGCAATAACTTTTATAATATATTTTTTAACCCAACACCCGTGTAGTACACGAGTATTGTACTAGTACTACTTTGTATATAGAAGAAATATGATTTTTTTCTTGAACGATAACAATATTGGCCCCCTTTGGTAGATAGCAGATTGAAGATAAATTAGCAGATTGGACTTAATTGAGAGGTTTGACCCGTCAAATCTGCTATAGCTTGTTTGGTAAATAACTTATTTGATAAGCTTTTTGGGTCCAAAACTCTAATTAGAAAAAGCTCATTAGAACAGCTTTTTGGGATAGAGGATTCACAATTGAGAGGTTTTACTTAGACCTTTTTAATTTGTCTTATTTATTTTACAATCTACATTGGTTTATAGAGCTAATAAATAATAATATGTCATCCATATGATTAATTTATCTAGAAAAATGTAAAATTCATAACTTCTTCATCAAGTGTTAGTAAATTTAAAAAAAAATATATATATTTATAAATTACCAACTAAAGAATATTAAATGTTTTAATATATTATTATTAAAAGAATACACCCTAAATAATAAAATGTCCTTATTGGTAATTTTGCAATGTCAAACAGCTATAAGCTTTCAGCTATTTACCAAACGCTTATTTAAAAACCGCTAATGCAATCCGCTGGTCAAATCAGTTAATATAATCCGCTATTCGCTATCCGCTGATACAATCCGCTATCTGCTATCCGCTGATCGCCAAACAAAGCCATTATAAAACTCGAAAACAAGACTAATTAGAAGGCCTAATTTCAACTGACATCAACACAACTTTAACATATCAAATATACGTTCAAACTGAAAAATGGACATGCCAAACAAAAGAAACAGCGTACAAACACCAAAACACAAGAAACTACAACCTAAAAACAAATATATACCAGATGGAACTCAATTCGTACCAGATCAAACTTGTGTTATATTAGATTTATAAAATGTGGGGAAGAGAGTGCGGTTCCACCAGATGAAGCGCACCATAAGAGGGTGAGCCTAGGTGTACCTTAGTGAGTTTCCATCCCAAAACCAATTGGTGATGGGAGGAGTAACTCACTAGGCTTATATACTTGGCTCATTTTTCCTATAGATTCAATGTGCGACAACTCACAAATGATATTCCAATATGTTATCTGGCCATCATAGAAGGTATATGATCATAAATCATAATGACGAAATGTGGACGGCATTAGAGTTTATATTAACTAGAGTTCCCTTATTGTTGGACAGCTTATTAATTTCGCCGTTGTGTTTTTCTTAATTAGATAAAAGATTTACTACATGTCAAATGGGAATTGCCATGAAGCCCTTATGACCAAGCAGTTAAATGCAGCAATTTGATCCCTAAAAGTCGTTTCTTTTTAATCTGTAATGATTATAAATTTATTTCTGTTAAAAGCATGCCTATTAAAAATAATTTCATTGACTTTGAATAAAATCATGAATTGTAATGCCTGTAATAGAAAATCTTGACCCAGCTACAATAGCTTATCCTTTTCTAACAGCATTAAATCATTTTTCCAGCACCATGACAGCGAACCATGCAAGTAAATGAGTTTCATTAATTACCATGAATAGATAGCATTTTCCAAAAGATGAAAAACAAATTATACTCCTATTCAAAGTGTTGATTATATCGTCTTAATTTCCACTAGGAATTACTGATCTCAAGACAATATTTATATAACTATAAAGACGTGCGGCTTAATTGGAAGATATGTTATTCTTATAATATTTTTTTTTTCAACATCATGCAAATTTCATTACGAGGAGCTTGAATATACAGAAACGCGTAACCAATGGGTTACATAGCCATAAGCTTGACAAGGAGTCAAAGAGTAGGATACTCAACAAGAGATCCCTTGAAAGACCACCTCGGTCCAGCATCAAACTAACAACCAAAACAAAATCACACAAACTAAGCTAAAAACAAGGCAAGAAAATGAAACATTCCAACCCGCTGACTTGGGTAGAGTTGCCTCTATCTCCTTTCACATTTGGATAGTGATAGGGATTATAGTATTCGCCCGGTCTGGTTGAGCACCAAGTCGAGCAAGCCGGAGTGGTAATCGAGGACACAGGGTCGACCCACTTAGGGCCTCGACCCATCGACCCAATAATCGAGGCAAGAAAGAGCACATGGCTTAGGGTCAACTCGACCAATAAGAGATCGGACCGTAAGCCATGATCGACCCATAGGGTGTCGACCCATGAGAGATCGACCCATGAGAAGGGGTCTAACATTGACTATGCTTCGGTCCTTAGTAGCGGGTAAACTATGAGAGTAGAGGGTAAGACTCATTTCATTATTCCTCCGTTACATTTTGTTATCCTCCATTACATTTTGTTGCGAGATCAATGTTCATCTCCGAGATATTGATTTGGTCGTCGGAGGGTCTTGCGCCGGACTAATTCCGGCGCTTTTGCAGGTACAGGCAAGCTCAAGAACACGGACCACGTCAAACCGGTATACCTCCACTTAAACCAAGCGAGAACTTTCGGAACATCGGAGTCGCCTATCTTGGACCATATCAAATTGGTGCCGTCTGTGGGAACCCTAGCTCAACCGACATTGATCTGGTGGTATCTCATACATAGCAATCGGAAAACAAGTTAAGAAGGAGAAAACGGAAGAAGATGGAGGAGGAAATAGAGCGGGAGCAGAGGGAAGAGGATAACTCTTGGTTACGCAAGCGTCCTATAGGGGCAGGACCGCCGCTGTGGTGGGTGTTGTGTGGAAACACGCCGGTGACCCCAGCTCCTGCTGTACAGTGGCCACCGGAGCTGTCTGAAGCAATCGCAAATAGCCCAGCGCAAACAGGTATGATGGAGACGCCAACAAGGCCGGGCGCGGGCTTACCACGACGTGAGACATGTAGAGAGGAGTTGCAGCTCCAGGAAGAGACGACGGAGATGACCAATGCAAATTTTCATCTTCTCATCCCGGAGCAACCCATGCAAATTACGCCTAGCGCGTTGGAGAGGATGATAGCAGCAGCGGTAGATGCTAGAATGGCATTGATCTCACCTCTAGTCAATTGGCCAATAGATCGACCTGAAGCACAGGGACCAGAGGCTCGACTAGGGGGCGCGAGGTGATAGCTCGACCCATGGGGCAGCACATAGCACCAGTTCGACCCATGGAGCAGCACCTAGTACAAGTGCTATCCATGGGGCAGCACGCAGCACCAGTTCGACCCATGGAGCAGCACCTAGTACCAGTGCTATCCACGGAGCAGCACGTAGTACCTGTTCTGTCCATAGAGCAGCACGTAACACTAGCTCGACCCATGGGACAGCACGCAGCACCAGTTCGACCCATGGAGCATCACGTAGCACCTGTTCTGTCCATAGAGCAGCACGTAACATTAGCTCGACCCATGGAGAAGCACATAGAGATACCCCGTGGTAAATGGTAGCACCCCGACACGAAAGCAATGAGCCCGGATGGTTTATCACTGGAGCCCATGCCTCGGGCCATGAGGGATCCCATGTTAGAGCAAATGGTAGCATAATTGAATGACCACCTCAAGTCGAGCACGACCCGTCGCGGGTGAAGCTCCACTATCTTAACCGCAAGGTCATAAAAAAGGCTTACCATGCTGATGAAGAATCGTGTACCCGTTCAACTCGATTTTCTTCGAAGAGGGCGCACAATAGGCCTTTCTTCTAGGTGATGTTTGTGTAGCTTATGTGTTTGGCTCCTTTTATACACGAGAGATTTCGACCGGCTTGGTCTTCACTCCTTTTGGGTAGACTTGCTCCTGAAATGTATCTCGGTCACGTGCTATTCTTCGACCAACAAGGCCTCTTTTGATTGGCACGCGCATATTGCATCTTGCATTGCCCACTCAATACTTAAATGAAAGAACAATTTATAGCCTGCGAATAATTTGCGGACCATTAGGCGTCACTCAGAGGTGTTTGGAGAATAATATGTCATTAGTGCTGTTGAGGCTGAAAAGCTTAATAAATTTATTTACGTGGGAACATGAATTCGAGGATGTTATGGTATTTATGTTCGATTTTTAATCTTTCTTATTACTTCGAGCCTTAGGGGGTTTACGTCAAGAGATCGGGTGGGCAAATACATCATGCGTCACCTACAAACATTTTCAAGGCCTCGCGGGTCGACCAGAAGCTCTACAGCTAGGTCACCTGGGGTAAAAGTTCCAAGGCCTCGCGGGTCGATCAGAAGCTCTACAGTTAGGTCACCTGGGGTAAAAGTGTTCAAGGCTACGCAGGTCGACCAGAAGCTCTACAGCTAGGTCACTTGGGGCAAGAAGTTTTCAAGGCCCCACGGGTTGATCAGAAGCTCTAAGGGTAGATCACCTGGGGCAAGAAGGGCCACGCGGGTCGATCAGAAGCTCTAAGGCTAGATCACCTGGGGCAAGAAGTTCAAGACCCCGCAGGTCGACCAGAAGCTCTACAGCTAGGTCACCTGGGGAGAAAGTGTTGAAGGCCAAGCAGGTCGATCAGAGGCCTTTGGGCTAGACCATCAGGGGCAAAGATGTTCAGGGCCATAGGGTTGATTAGAAGCCTTAGGGCTAAGTCACCCAGGGCATTTCTCCCAAAGGCTAGAGGATCGACTACAAGCCTTAGCGCTAAGTCGCCCGGGGCATCCCTCAAAGCCATAGGGTCGACTAAAAGCCTTGGGGCAAAGTTCGACTGGAGAAAAACTCGCACAATAGTTTTTCAAAGCCATGTGGGTCGATAAAAAGCCTTAAGACTAGGTCATCCGCGCAACGTCGTCGCCCCGTGTGATGCCTTCGCCCCGCACGACGTCGCCCTACGCGACGTGGTCGACCCATGCAAAGTGGTCGGCTCCGTGATGTTGTCGCCCCACGCGATGTCGCCCTACGCGACGTGGTCGACCCACGCAAGGTGGTCGGCCCATATGATGTCGTCGCCCCGCACGATGTCGCCCTACGCGATGTGGTCGACCCACTTAAGGTGGTCGACCCATGTGATGTTGTCCCCCCGCGCAATGTTGACGCCCCCCGCGATGTTGCCCCGCGCAAAGTGGTCGACCCACATGATGTCGTCGTGCCGCACGATGCCTTCGCCCAGCACGACGTCGCCCTACGCGATATGGTCGACCCACGCAAAGTGGTCGACCCCGTGTTCGACCCACACAAGGTGGTCGACAAACGCAAATTAGACGACCCACGCTAGGTGGTCGACGTGTTCAACCCACGATAAGGGTCTCTACCATTGACCATGGTCGACACACGGTAGGCGTGCTCGACCTAAGACAGGTGGTCGAAGCACGATCAACATGTCGGACACGGTAGGGGGTCGATATCTTTGACCCATGGTAGACGTGCGGTTGACAAAACCGGCTCGCAATCAGAGTGTCCGACCCACACAGTCGACCCCCACTCAAGTCGACAAGGTGCACTCGAGGTCGGCGCGGTCGATTCGTAGTTGACACGGTCGACCCGTGCATAACAGCATAAGATTGTATAAGTAATAAAAATGATGCATACGAACGTAATATTTGCAACTACACGAATTTCGTCGCGTGTACTCGCAAATAGGAGAAGTCCCATATCTGAGATTATAGTACCGACACGGGTTAAGCCTAATGGCCGAACTGGATGAGAAGGACAGGGGGGGTTCGACCTGCTCGAACGGTCAAACATGTACCTAGGGTCGATTGGGCGTCGACCTATGCGCCCCAACATCGACCTATGCGCCCCAGCATTGACCTATGTACCCCAGCATCGACCTATGCGCCCCAACATCGACCTATGCGCCTCAACATCAGTATATGCACCCCAACATCGACCTATGCGTCCGAGCATCGACCTATGCACCCCAACATCGACCTATGCGCCCCAACATTGACCTATGCGCCCCAGCGTCGGAGGAGGACGATCGACCGTGCATCAACCAGCCCAAGGAGTCGACCATTAAGGGTCAATTGGCCATGCATCAACCGGCCCAAGTGGTCGACCCTCGACATAGCGGCCACCGGCGAAATGACTTAGGGTCGAGCCTTGGCCCTCAAAACTATCATGCGCCAGGTGATCGGTCAATGAACGTCTAAGGATTTATGGTCCCGAGGACCGTACAGTCAGCTACTATTTAAGAGTCATAACTCTTAAGGCCAGAAGGTCGACTAGGAGCCTTCGGGCAAGATTCAACTGGGGCAAAGTTACGCAAGTTTTTCAAGGCCATTCGGGTCGATTGACCTACGCGAGTGTGTGATCAACCTATGGTGCGCGAACTACCCATGTGGGCAAACGATCGACCCCACGGGTGCGCGATCAACCAATACAGGTGCGAGATCGACCCATGTGGGCGCACGATCGACCCACGCGGGTGTGCGATCGACCCAGGGTCACGCAGAAAGTAAAGACTATACATGTCAGTGCGCGATTGACCTTGGGGTACATAGGATCATTGCGATTGACATGGTCGGCCCAGGATCAACACAATTGACCTGTGGTCGACTCAATCGACTCGAGGTCGACCTAGGGTCGACGCAAGCGGCTCGGCGTCAACGCAAATGGCCCATAGTCGATGCTAGCGACCAGGGATCGACCCACCATCGCCACGACCAACTCGAGGTCTACGCACACGACTGAGGTCGACCCATAGTCGACACGACTGGCTCGAGATCGACACATTTCGAAGATGACGCGCTTGACCCATTGCAGGTGGTCAACGTGTTCGACCCACGGTGAGGGTCGCAGCCGTTGACCATGGTCGATACACGGCCGACATGCTCGACCCATGATGGGTGGTCAAAGCACGGTCTATGTGTTCAACCCACGGTGGGGGTCTATACCACTGACCCATGGTCGACGCACGACCGACAAGACCTGCTCGCGATCAGCGTGTTCTACCCGGTATGCATGGTCGACGTACTGCCGCTGTGCTCGACCCACGACTGGTGGTCAAAGCAAGGTCGACTTGTCCGACCCACAAGGGTGGGTCGATACAGCTGACCCATGGTCGACGCACTACTGACAGGACCTGCTCACGATCGGCGTGTTCGACCCTGTATGCGTTGTCGACGTACGAGCGACGTGCTCGACCCACGACAGTGGTCAAGGCATGGTCGACGTGTCCAACCCACGATGGGGGGGTCGATACTGTCAACCCATGGTCAACGCACGGGATTCGCAAGCACGCCGTCGGGTCGAAGGGTCTGCATATGTGCTGTTGGATGAAAGGGAAATTAGCGAGTCAATTGTCGGGTAGAGAAGATTTGCAAAAGAGGATTAAAGGAAAGCTTTCTTGGTAAATGAGGAGTAGGGTATTTAAATTGGAGATGGGAGAAAATGAATCACGTGGTGTGGGTAGATGAGTTGGTAGTGGGGACATTGTGTTACGAAAAGAAAAAGGCATGGGTCAAGTGTTCAAAGACCAAGACCCAAAATTGAAGCCTCCTTGTGTGTTTCAGGTAGATTGGCCATGGTGTGTGGTAGACGCGAAATAATTGTGTAATATTCAGATATCAAAATCGAAGACGTGATTGCCGACAACGGATCTCCAATAAATTATATTTACAAACACACGGGTATCGACCCGTGTATTCATAAATAGGGGGAGTAGTTGATAGGGATTATAGTATTGGCCCGGTCTGGTTGAACACCAAGTTGAGCAAGCCGGAGTGGTAATCGAGGACACAGGGTCGACCCACTTAGGGCCTCGACCCATCACCCCAATAATCGAGGCAGGAAAGAGCACATGGCGTAGGGTCAACTCGACCAATAAGAGATCGGACCGTAAAGCCATGATCGACCCATAGGGTGTCGACCCATGAGAGATCGACCCATGAGAAGGGGTCTAACATTGACTATGGTTCGATCCTTAGTAGCGGCGATGACTAGGTAGTCCGTACAGCCTAAAACACTATATATATGGTAAATTATGAGAGTAGAGAGTAAGACTCATTTCATTATTCCTCCGTTACATTTTGTTGTCCTCCATTACATTTTGTTGCGTGATCATTGTTCATCTCCGAGATATTGACTTGAGCGTCAGAGGGTCTTGCGTCGGAGTAATTCCGGCGCTATTGCAGGTACCGGCGAGCTCAAGAACGCGGACCACGTCAAACCGGTATACCTCCACTTGAACCAAGCGAGACCTTTCGGAAGACCGGAGTCGCCTATCTTGGACCATATCAGATAGAGTTATTCCTCGCTTGCATCGGGGCCTCCACTCCCTAAAGGCATATTCTTTATCTGGACGATGCCCCTCTTCGACTCCGTACTCTTATACGGATGGACCAGATGGGCTACACATTGTTCAGATTTGGGTAGTTGTTTTGTATTTTTCGTGATTCAGCCTAATTGTTGTGCATACTATTCGCCTAGGCTCCATTCGGACCAAGCTCAGATTTTTTCGTTTTTGTTTGTTGTTATTGTTTCTGTTGTTATTTTTGTCTGTTTTGGACGTGTAGACTCGTGATTTTTCAGCCCTATTTAGAGCCCTGACTATATATAGGTTGGCGGTCCGACCTTAACCCCCTAGCCATCCACGGTGTTTTCCTAAAGAAAAAAAATAAAAGTTGAACATTACAATAGATCAGCTAAAGAGAAAATGTCTGCAACTAAAACAGAAACATAAGAATTGAACCAGGCCCTGTTTTAGAGCATTTGCAGCAACTTTTTGTCCTTCACAAAGATCTCAGATCTTTGACACCCAAGTCTGACTCATTTCCCCAACCACTCTCTGATTTTAAGCAATGCGGTTTCAACTGGATATTTGCAAATCCCATCCATAGAAGAGAACCACTTGTCAACTTCAAGTTCTCCCATAGCAGCTCTTCCCCTCATTCTCACTCCTTTTAGTAATGAGTCAGTAACACTGGTTGCATTCCCATGCACCCCTACTCTCTATCTCCCACCATCATCTACCCACATCTACCTACTCCAGACCTTGCCTTCTTACCTTGAGCTTATGCAAACTCCATCCATTCCATCTTAGCTCTTTCTACTAGCATGGTTTCTGATATGTTTTCCTTTCCGAAGACCCAGTTTTTCCTGTCTTCCACATCCACCATAACTGATAGGTTGACAGAGCTATCTTATTTTTGTTATGGTCAATAGCTTTCATACTACAAAGCTCCTCCCACCACTCCTAAAAGCTAGACTTGTCCTTTTGCAGTCTGTCCCAAGATAATCCAACTAACTTCCACACCTTTAGATGAGCTCTTCCACATGTGAACATCAGATCTTCCACATCATCCTCCTCAGCCCCACACCAGCAGCAAATTACATCATCAACGCACTCTTTTGCCTCAATATGGTGTTTGTCCCCACCCAGTTGTGCCAACACCTACATAAAAAGTTCCTCACCTTTGGTTTAATTGACATGTTCCAGGTCTTCTTCCACGTAGTTTTCCTATCTCTTCTTGCATTGTTGGATTCTGCCCCTTCCAGCTTTCAATGTTCTTTTGCTGGATAAGTTTGTATGCTTCCTTCCCAGTGAACATCCTTTCGTCCAAATGCAAGATTAGCATATCTTTTGTACCCATTTGACATATATAAAATTTTAGAATGTTGGCAGCATCAAAAGGGCTGAACGTCTGCATAATAAATCATTATCCAACTCCTTGCCTTATATAATCATAAGATTAGAGACTCCACAAAACTTCTTTTTATCCTCCTCAAAACAATAAGTAGGCATAAAATTTGGAGAATTATGAATCCACGGTGATTCCCATAAGTTAATGGACTGTCTATTGCCCACCTGAAATCAAATTCCTAGCTTTAAGGATTTCTAGACTTTAACTAGCTCTTCCACATCTAGGAATCACTGTCCTTTTTGCTTATCTCCATTATTTTTTTCTTATAGAAATACCTACTATGAGACTTATGTTCATAAGCATTTTTTGATTAGTCACATGCTCCAAATTTGCTTTAAGTTAAGCTTCATTGAAATCCTCTAACTCTCCGAAGCCCAAACCCTTCTCTAGCTTATGTGAGCTAGTCTACTCCATGAGCCCAATGGATCCTACTAAACCCCCCTACCTCCCCTTCATTTTTACCCCACTAAAAGCCATCAATGTCTTTACAAATGTCATAGCAAATGCCCAAAAGGGTCCTAAAAACAGATATGACATACATTATATGACATACACTAGTAATGCACTCAACACAATTTGGATTAAAATTTCATTCCGTACCACACTAAAGAACATGTTCTTCCAACTAATAACTCTATCCACCACTCACTCTTTAACAAAAGAAAAAGTCACCTTTTTATTTCTACCTATTCCCGAACGAAGTCCCATAGGACCGCCAAAGGTCAATGTAATCTTTAGAAGCTTTTTTCAGTCATAGACAAAAGAGGTAATTGAGGGTCGACGAAGTTGAGGAACTAAGAGTCTATTCTTTCTTATGTATAACATTCATTCTATTATCGGGACAGCCGTTCCTCATAAGCCATATCTAGAGCTCTTAACCACCACAATACCATTTAGGATTTGACAGACATGAAACCTCAAGATGGCAAGGTGCCAACTCTACCACTCCGGGTGCATTATTTATTTAAAAAAAAAAAACAAAAATATGTGAAAAAAAAAGTTGTGGAAATGTATAAAACAGCCGGATTTTCAGAATCCGTTTTTCTAATTAAATTTTTAATTGAAAAACGGATTCTCACAATCCGTTTTTAATTTTGATTTTTTTTATAAGATAACGGTCGAATTTAATAATAATAATAATACATCCACTGTCTAAAACGGATTTTCAAAATCCGTTTTTCATTTCAAAACGAGTAAAACGGATTTTGAAAATCCGTTTTTCTGTTGATAAATATCATTCGAACCCACTTTCCTCTCTCATTTCTCCTCTCCCATTTCATTTTCTCCACTCGTTTTTTGCTCGATTTTATTGCGAATTGAAGCTGCAATTAAAAAAAAATACAAATTCCATTTCATTTCTCATCTCGTTTTTTCCAATCGTTTTTTACTCGATTTTTTGGCGAATTGAAGCTGATCCCGGGAAAAAAACAAATTTTCAACCAATCGTCGAAGAAGAGGTTAGTTGTTATTTTAATATAATGTAATATTAATTTTTGGTTGTTTATGAATGTTTAAGAGATATATTTGGTTAATTGAGTATTGTTTAGAAAATCTTGAATGTTGGTTTAATATATGTTTATGAATTTGGTTAATTGAATATTTATCCAAATTGTTTATGAATTTGATGTTATTGTTGGATTATGGTGATTAGGGTTTTTGTTGTGGCAATGTACTAAATTAATTGATAATTTTTTTTTTGTTGGAGTAAAAATATGATTAATTATATGTTGTTGTTGGATATGTGTTTTAAATGTAGATTGGTAAAATAATAATTAAAATTTTTCTCGGGTGTTTGATTAGCCATTTTAAATGTAGATTGGTGACTAGGGTTTTTGTGGTTTTTTTTTATAAATTTTGACAATTTTTTTTTTGTTGGAGTAAAAATATAATTAATTATATGTTGTTGTTGGAAATGAGTTTTAAATGTAGATTGGTAAGATAATAATTGAAATATTCTCGGGTGTTTAATTAGCCATTTTAAATGTAGATTGGTGATTAGGGTTTTTGTGGTGTTTTTTATAAACTAATTGACAATTTTTTTTTGTTCGAGTAAAAATATAATTAATTATATGTTGTTGTTGGAAATGAGTTTTAAATGTAGATTGGTAAAATAATAATTGAAATTTTCTCGGGTGTTTGATTAGCCATTTTAAATGTAGATTGGTAAAATAATTGAATTTTTAAATGTAGATTGGTAAAATAATAATTAAAATTTTCTCGTGGTGTTTGATTTTTTTTTTATGTTGTTGTAATTTGTAAAATATAATTTTTTTTGTGCAACAGGTTATAAATGTCGTCTAACGGTCCATACTTTGTTAATGTGTACTGGAAAATTCCTCAGAGTGAGTTATGGAATTTTTCGAATTATATGTCTCGTCCGGATTGTTCATTTGTTATTAATGGAATAATATCATATGAACAATTGGTAGATATGATTTACGAAAATGGTGAGTTTCGTGATAGTTGGACAATTTCGGATATTACTTTGATGGCGAGACAACAGGATGGTTCGTTTATTACCGGAAGACTGCATAATGATAATTCTCTTTCGTGGATTTACTACTCTGCTCCTATGTCCTATGTGTTTTTGCATATAGTGTTGGAAGCAAACACACAGGTTGAGGATCCTACGCCATCATATGGTTACGAGGGAATGTTTGGTGGTGAGGATACGTGGACTACGCATGCCGGTAAGTTTGGTGAAGGGACGAGTAATTTCGGCGAAGGGACGAGTAATTTCGGCGAAGGAACGAGCTTTACCATGAGAGGACCGGACATTGAGGAAGAAATTGTTGGAGATGAAGATTTCATTCCCGGTGAAGACGATTTCACGGATGAGACCTCGGAAACCGAATCGGACAGATCAATTAATGAGGAGAGCGAACAAGAATTCATTGAAGAACACCCCTTTCCAAATGAAGGCCTCTACGTGGCGATCTCACAGGACGGCGGGTTTTAGCCATATGCCGACCGGGAGAAGTGTCAGGTAACTGTCTGCTATTTTGTGATTTTTTTTATTATTATTATTAATATTATTGAAGTAATTATTATTATTATTATTTTTAATATTTGATAGTTATTTGAATTTTATTTTACAGTTTTCGGGTACCGAGGTGGCGTATAACATGCTAATGAACATTGAAGACATTGATACGCTACCTCCCCTAGCGCAGTCACAGTTCCAGCAAGCCCAGGAACTTCTGTACGCTTCTCTGACTGTTGGGGGTCAGTCGGTCACACAAGGGGTGTCGTCGGAGCAAATTCTATCTCAAGATGAGTACGCCCCACCCCAGCATACACAGTCTCAGCGGGCGAGGCATAGACCGGCGCCCCACATTGGTGGAGGGAGAAGACGCCGTGACCGCGAACCCGCCGGAAATGAAGAAGACGAAGAAGGTGAGATTTTTTTATTTAACTACAAATATATATATTTTTTTTGTTTCTTTTTATTTATTTGTTCGGTCGAATTATTGATTTTTTACAAAAATTAATTAATTAGGTGGACAAGAAGAAGAAGAACCAACCACGCCTGGACCGACCGCAGGATCGTCTTCTTTGTTACCGGGGCCTCGGAGAGGGTCCCGAAGACGCGTGACTAGGAAACCATTTACTCCTAGTTAGTTTGTTTTTGTATTCTGTGATTTTGTGGATATTTTCTTTTTTTTTTTTTTTTTATTTTT